CGTCGGTCACACTCTGTGTCAACACTTGACCTCTTACAGGTCAGTTCAGGAACACAGTCAGCAGCTGAGTCAAGCTGAGTCTTTTTCTCAGTCAAGACAGTTTTGGGAACTCCTTCCTTGTAAAAATGGAAAATATTTGTTAAAGTGCATATCAGAAAAAGTTCACACATAACAAAAGGTCAAAAATGGCTCTAACATAACAGATGAAAAGTGAAACTGCATACACAGTTGTTTTTACCCCCACATCCAGCTTTGTTAAATTATAGTTTTGCTATGTGTTTAAAGATGTGTAGGCCAGGAGGCTTTGCAGAAATTTAAGGGTAGGCATGTTACCTTCCTTTGTAATCAAGCTGAGAGTTTTACAGGGGAAAACATTTTAATCTAGCAATTTGTAATGTAAATATGCAGCATGTACAGTTCACTGTACGGTATGTGGCACAGAGTTATTTATTTATAAAGACTTTAAACATTATTTTTAAAACAATAGATTGTTTGGAATGTTTTTATTCTCTGAAAGCTCTTTGATCGTTTTATTCCTGAAATAAATGTGATATTATGTGTAGTAATTGTGTTTTGTTTTGCTGCTTTATTCCAGACTATGGCGGCTCTTCAACAATGAAATATCAAACCTATAACCCAAATTACAGCTCTAAATCGTCCTATATGTACACAGGCTCCAGAACAATGGTGAGTTCAACACCATTGTCTCACTGTTTCAATATGTATCGCACATATCGTGGAAATATTAACCTGTTCATGTCACTTACACTGACCAGCAGCAGGTACAGCCATACACAGCATGTGTGGTATTTCACAGGAGGCTGTGATAACATAACATGAGCTCAGGGTTTTAAAGCCCTCCATCTAGATTCCTTTATTTTATTAACAGGACAGGAAGACACTGGCTTTTGTTTGACCTCTTGAGACATGAAATTTTAGAATGTCCCCTGCATCTGCATTTTATATCTGACTCAACATTACCTCATATCTGAGTCAGTAATAAGTCCTTCCTATGCTTTGTATGAGAAGTGGAATTGAATATGACCAGAAGCAGTGAGGCCATGACCTCTGTTTCCTGTCATAGTAGTTACATCCCTGTGATCAAATTTAGAAACTGATACTGCTAACATGCAGTGACTCACAACAAATCCACCTACTGATAAAGTTCACTGGAACATAGAGTTGCTCTGCGTACACGTTTGATCATAGCAGTTACTGCTCTCTTCATCCTCAGGGTCCACGTGTATCCCAGAGGTCGGGCTTCAGCTGTCAGTCTGCTGGCCCAGATCTGGCCCAGTTCCAGAAGATCAGTGTTGGAGGTGGAGGAGCTGGTGGTGGCAATTTTTACAGAGAAGACTTGCGCATGGGCGGCTATCAAGGCAACGCCAGACTCCAGAGCCAAATGGACCCAGAAACCCTCTCTATGCATTCAATGCGACAGCAGGCAATGCAGGTGAATCCCTGGATGGTTGATGGCAGCGATGCTGGCAGCATGGTCTCTGACCGGGATGCCACCTACAGCCGCACTCAATACGCTCAGAACGCAGTCAACGGCTACAGCCAGGTGAGGCAAGGAGGAGGCACCATGACCTTTCCATCACAGATACACCGATCTCTTAGTGGCACTCTTTC